TGAGGGGCACCACCCAAAAAGCTCATGGCTGGAATATAAGGGGATGGAATGCAGCCAGGTTTGCTGCTTGTTACTTTCTGTCTGCCATATCCTGTTTCCTCTTTGCCCTGGCCATTTGCCATGTGGCCTTGCCTCGGAGCCAGCTGACTCTGGACTTAAAACTCTGCAAACTGTGAGCTGAAGTAAACTTTCCCTCCTTTAACATGAGGGTGTTGGATATTTTGTTCCAACAATAAGAATAGTAACTAAACCCACAACTAGCTACTGCTTATTTTTTAATAATAATAATAATAAAAGAAATTATACACTACTTAATCTTCTGATTTTTTGCATGAAATTGTATCAGTGAGGTTTATTCATGTCATTGTATATATTTGTATGCTTCCTTCACTACAGAGTAGAGATTAACACCATTTCTTCTTAAAAAGGCAGGAAATAAATATTTTCAGTTTTATGTACCATATGGTTTCTTTTAAAAGTACTTGCTCTTTGTAGATTGAAAGCTGCTATGCAAAATAACTAAATGAATGGGTGGAACAGAGTGGCTATGTTCCAATAAACTGAATTTACAAAAACACGTAGTGGTTTCCATGTGGCTCATGGTCTGTCATTTACTAACTTCTGTTGTTTAGTTTCTCATTGTCTGACTAAACTGTAATCTATTCATCCGGTTGTTATTGTTCTTAAGAATAATTGCCAGTTTGGGGTTATCGTTACTGCTCAGTGAACATACTGGTGCAAATGTTTATGGTGAAGAATTCTTATTTATTTTTTTCTTTTTCTCTACGTAACACGATTCTTGACCCACTGTTCAAATATGTATCCTTTAATATACACTTTAAATCTCATTTTCCAAAATCAATTTGATTGTGTTCTTGCAAAAGGTTTTAGAGAATTGGTTCCCAGCATTTGTGAATGTGGTCTTATCTGTAAATAAATTCTTTGCATATAACCAAGTTCATTGACTTCAGAAGAAGTCAACCATGTGATTACACTTGTATCAAGGACTAACTTGTAAAACTGTAAATAATCTTGTCACTTTTTGTTTAAGCCACCTAGTTTGTGCTATTTTATTACTAGTAAATTTGTAATAAGTCTTCCCAATTCAGTTGCTTCCTGACCACATAGCTAGTGTGGGAGAGGCTCCCTATTATTATTACACAGTTTTGCTTATTTTATCTATTTCTTTTCTGTTTTTCTATTATTCTTACTAGAAATAAATTGAATGAAAATGAAAAGATCAAATATCTTTTGAACTATTCATTTTTCCTGACATAATATACTACAGATTATCAACAAATGGTTTTGGAGCAAATAAATGTGAAAGATGTCCTAAATTTGGCTCTTGAATAAGCAGAACTTTAAGCAAAGATCAGAAAGTTGTAGATTTTATGCTTTTGGAAGATCTGCACTGAGCGACTTTAATATATGCAGGTGAAGAAAAATTCTCAAAAGTCAAAAAAAGAAGATGGCTTAAACTAGTATCTATTGAGCACCTTCTATCAATCAATTTCTATACTGTGCATTTCATGTTTTACTATTTAATTCTGTCTATGATATTCCTGTCTATAATTGTACTAAAGAACCATGTAATGGAGTAAATACAAATACCTGCAATCAGTATACAGATCAGTGAAACAAGTGTGTGCATGGGTGCAATCAACACTAACTTCTGGAGTTCACAATGCATTTAACAGAGGAACAAAACATTGACAATCTTTGATCCAGGGCTTATAAATAGAAGAAATTTTGAACTCAGGGTTATTTGATTCAAATGATCACTCTGGATTCTTACCTTTGTCCTTCTTGTGAACAGCTTTTTAGCCATTGGCTTGATTACTTTTCATCCTGCATGAGTAAAAACCTTTCTTTTACCTTTTTTTTTGAGAGAAAGCAAAATTGGTGGCTTTGAAAGGTCACTTGCTATTTTGAGATATAACTGGTGCTCCCTATAGGGGGCCTTGCAGCTTGTATCTGGGACTCAAATTATAGGCCCCACCATTGAACATGACTATTGAATTTTAAGAGCACTCCTAAACCAATGTAAAGTGCGCTCAGTCACAGGACATCACAAAAATCTTTCTGGCTTTATGATTTTACATCTGTAAAACTGCTTCATTAAAGACAATTTAAAATGCTCATATAAATTTGGAACTCTGAACAAAAAGAGTGGAAATTGATTTTCAGCACTGAGCATGATAATCTGGCCCAGAAAATAATTAGCATCATGACAGGTGTCAATCAATGGCGGCAAAACACGGTAATCAATGATTAGGCAGCCTACAGAAGTGAACACATCCTAGCATGACAATTTCATTTGCTTATTTTCAAAAGATATTGTCTGAATCTTTTGCATTTAATAGAACATGTACATATCTCTGGCAATGAAACCAACAGGTATACTTCTGATTTGTAGTAATTGGTCATTTCAATGCTGCAAAACTGAATCACTGGCAAAACCGAAATCCTAATTTTAAAGTATTGATAGCTACTCTCTAGGTGTATGCACCTAATGTAGCTATGCTATAAATATGCATTTGAAAGCACAGTAAACTAATCTTGCAACACTTGTTGTCATTTTATTTTTGGGAGTGAAAGAAGTTTAGATTTAGCTAGTGGGATAATTAGTGGTCTCTAGTTTCTGTTAGAGGAGGCTGACAGAAAAATGATTTCAAGAATGTGTACCAATGTCAGGAAGACAATGACTCTTATAGCAGAAGACATATGCTGGTTGATATAGGTAATGCTAAGTGGAAAAAAATAACATTTTTGACATCCAATCAAAACCCTAAAGTCATTTTGAGATTTTGAGATTTTAACTTCAGTTCATGATGATGTCTTCTTTTCTTTAGTCAACCTATAGTTGACTAGAACACAATACAGATTTTTTCGCTTTATAATACTTATTAACCAGTATGTTATTGATAGTAAGGAGAAGTGATTTTACTTAAAAGTTATGAAAAAACCTTTTGCTATCAAAAGAAACATTTGTTTTAAGAACTATGATAAAAAATGGTTTAAAATCTAGAATTAAATAACTACAAATGAATTCCTAGACCTTTATAGGACCAAAGTAATACATAAAATCTTTGTCATTTAACTTTTTAGCTGCTTCTGGCTGTCTGATTCAGTGATCTCTAATCAGGGATATGTCTGCTTCCTTTGGGACAGTTTCTGCCAGATGATGACAAGAATGCTGTTCCAAAATGAAATTTGGAACCTAAGTTTAAATTGAATCTCACCCTCTAGAGTAAACAATAGATGGAAGCTGCCTATTAAATCATCAACTTTTAATTAAATCCTTTGCAGCTGTAAGATCCCTCTACTCAACAAGGTGATAAATGCATTGTGTTTTAATTTAGTTATTTTTATACTAAACTCTTTGTAAAAGGGGAAGGGGTGATATTTACCAAGTTACCAATAATAGCTCTTGGATGATTTCTTTATTAATGCCATGGCAAAATGTTGTAAGCATTTAAGTCAGCAATGTGGGATCAAATTTTGGCTCCAGGTCCTAATTAATTCTCTAACTTTTGCAGAGTCCAGTGAACTCTTTTAATCTCAGTGTTTTAGACAGATTAAATCACTGATGCCAAATCTCCCCTCTTCCCCTTTGTCCACACAATTGTTACACTCTGATTATGGATGAAGCATATTTTTTGTTCCTGTCCTTGACTGTGGGTTTGGTCATGGTTTATTTTATTCAAAGATATTTGGATGGGAAACAGCATATTATTTCTAAACACAGTTCTTCAAAGGCCTCATACATCTCACCTTATTCTTTGGCGTTCTATTATCACCATGAGAAAATCTTCCCCTGGTTGGATGCTTCCCTGATTCTGAGTCCTATAAATGACCTATAAGGGCAAGGGCTTTGCCAAGCCAGTCTACCCTGCACGAACTGCTGCAGCTGACCTTGCATAGGGAATAAATGCATGACAAATGCTACTGAGATATTTTGTTTGCTCATTATCATATAGGATAATTGCAGTAATAATGAATAGAGACAATTTGGTTATTGGTTTAACGTAAATTAATGAGGCATATAGTTAGAAAAATTCATTCACTTAATGAATATACATGTATATATATATTTATATTTGTGTATATGTGTATGTACATGTGTCTGCTATGTATCGATAGATACACATTTACATATATATATATATTTTTTTTTTTCCAGTACAATGAGGATTAAACCCAGGTCCCCATGCACAGTAGGCAAATGAACTATCACTGAGATACCTAACCAGCAACTTTTTAAATTTTACTTCAAGGCAGCATTTCAAAGGGTTGCCCATGGTACTTTTAAACTCGTGATCATTATGCCTCAGCATCCTGAATAGCTGAGATTACAGGTGTATAACATTTTATCCAGCTTGATATAAGGAGCATTAACCTTGATATTCAAAAGGTTATTTTCTAGAGGTTTGGGAACCAAAAGAAGCAAGGTTTCTGTCATTAAGGAGACTGACTTCTAGCAGCAATGTGTATGTTTAAATAACAAAATATTATATTCAAAGCATGGATTCATATCATAGTCATCAAAGTAATACATAACATGACTATTACTAGTAACCTATAGTTATATGTTGGTAATTAATGTCAGTAATTCTATTACCTATTGATTTATCAGGACATGGCAAAATGAGAATTTTTACTAAGAAACATGCTCAAAAATGCACGAGATATGGAGAAAAGTGCAACATAAGGCAAAACATATGTACAGAACTTGGCAAATGTTTCTTTAGAGGTTTTTGAAGTTTGAGAGGCTTAAAGAGGGTGTAACATTGTCTTGATGATATCACATAATGTGATGCTGACTTTGGTGTTAACTGGACTGGCCCATGGGGGTGACGAGATATTATAATAAATACTCTGTATCACTGTGAGAGTATTTTTAAGATTAATCCTGTGTCTAGACAGAGCAAAGCAGACTGCACTCATCAATGATTTAGGACCTGATCCACTTGATTTCTTTCTTTTTTTCTTTTTTAATCATGGGAGAGCATGAGCCAGTCCTCACTACCACAAATTATGCAATCGAATTTCTCACATTTGGGGAAATCCCAGGAATCAGCACATGTGGAGTGCAATGGATAAGCCTCACCCTGGGAAAACCACCTTCATGATCGTGGTATCTCCTCCCCTGCCAGGTAAGTATGATCCACTTGCTTGAAGGGCTGAATAGAACACAAATAAAAAAAGGAAGAACTGGTTCTATCTAATTATTTTTGAGCTGCAACATTTTCTTACCCTATCTAGAGGAACAAACTGGAACTGGATCTTACACTGTTGGCTCCTGCCTTGGTCCTCAGATCTTCATCGTTGACAAGAACCATATCATTTTCTCTCTTCACATCCAGATTGCTGATTGTAGATCATGTGATCACTCAGCACTACATGATCTGGTTTCTTATGATGTACATATATGTATAGATTCTGTTTCTATGGAGAGGTGGGTCTAGTAACCATAGAAACTGTTCATTTCCTTTACCATCTGTCCAACCAAATTTGAACATTGCATATTTGTGAACATATATTCCAAAATGTAACAAAAATAACAGCGGAAACAACAAAACAATCACAAAGTATGCCCCAACTTTATGACATCTTAATTTGCTATTTTCAATTTTATGGGACACAATATAAGCAAATAATAATCTATTTCTGCAATGATGGATAATATTTTTTTAAAAATGCACCAGAATATTTTTGAATATTGGAAAGGAAAATAAGAGAAGTACTTGTTCTTTATTTTACATAAGAAATTTTCCCAAGGCAAGGAAACTCAACATGGCCAAAGTCATGGACAATGTCAAAAATGAGATAATAATAATAAGAAATTATCACTTATTGATTACATTAAGATTTGGTAGTTAACGAGCAACATACTTTCTTGATTATCCTTCTTTTCCAAATGAGGAAAGAGTTTATAAAATTAAGCAACATGCTATGGAGACCATAGATAGATGGTTAAATCAGTTTTAAAATTCAAGGCGTTTGAAGGAGAATGGAGATACATGAGGGGAAGAGATAGGAAAAAATTGTTCTATGTACATATACCAACTCCCCATGTGGAATGTGATTATTACATAATACAAACATGTACTAATAAAAAATTAATTGAATCAAAGAAATCAGATCTTCTGAGAATTTCTTAATTACTATAATATTTTTATTAGTACATGTTTATAGCACATAATTATTTTGTTCCTTGGGGGAAAGGGTACCTGCACATAATACATCTTAATTCTTTTCTCTTTCCCTTTCCCCTCCCTGCCTCCCTCTCCGTCTATCTGTTGATACCTTTCGTATTTTATTTTTTACCTGTTGGGCATGTTTGCAGTACACAATGTTTACAATCCTTGTGTGGAGCTGGAACATACTTCATACATCTGTGCTCCTTTTCCCTTCTCCTTTCTCTCCTCTCTCTCCCTTGAGGATTTTTTAAAAATATAAGATATTTGTCTCTAGAGCACAACTTACCAAAATTAATATACTTAAACTCGCTTGGTTGTTTTGTTAAAAATCCTGAAGCCTACCTTAGAGTTCTTATGTTTGAAATAGAGTAATCATCCAGCAAAAGCACTTTAACAGTTAATGTCTTTTACATAATTCCAATATGTAGCCCCGGTTGCAACCCATAATTAGTATTTGTTTGACTAGGTCACATATTTACTTCCATACCATTTAGGAAAAAGAAAACATTGAAAAGCAGGTCAAATCTCAACTTACAAAGTATACACTCTCTTTCTCCTTAATACCAGATTTAGATTTTAGCAAGCAAAATACACTGGAAAAAAAGGAACAAGTTCTTCAAAGGAGGATTTAATGAAAAATATCTGAGATGCATTTAAGATACAAAGGGAGAAATTATTTAATGTAGAAGTCAAGAAATCAACTTCTTTTACCATAGCAACAAAAGACATAAAAATTGAATACTCAGCAATAGATGTAACCAAATAGGTAAAATAATTCTTTAATGAAACTTGTAAAACATTGATGAAAGACATTGAAAATGACAGAAAGCAAAAACACAACTCTTACTCATGGGTTAGAAAAATCAATAATATGAAAATGTTCATACCACCCAGAGCAATGTGCATATTCAACACAATATCTTCCAAAATATCCATGATATTCTTCACAGAATTAGAAAAATAATCCTGAAATTTATATGGATCTATAAAATTCCTGTGTAGCTAAAGCTATGTTGAGCAAAACAGACACAGCAGGAGGCATTTCACTATCTGACTTAAAAATTTGCTACAAATCAGTTGTAGCCAAAACACCACAGTGTTTGACATGAAAACAGACAAAGAGACTAATAGAAGATACTAGAGGCTAGAAATAAACCTGTATCTTTACAGCTGTTTTCGATTTTGTTTTTGTTTTATAGATGCTAAGAAATTGCATTGGAAAAGGACAGACTTTTCAATAATGTTAGGAAAATTGAACATTTATGTGCAGAAGAATGAGACAATTTCTGGACCTCACAAGTTACAAAAGTGGGTTAAACTCAAAATGGATTAAAGACTTCAACCTAAGACCTGAAACTGAAAATACTAGAAGAATACATGTGGGAAACTCTTTAGCACATAGAAACATGCTAGATTTAAAAACAAAATAATATTTTAAAAAACCCTGAAAGCATAAAACATAATACCAAAAATAGACAAATGTGATGTCAGACTATAAGAAGCTTCTATTTAATTAAGAGAACATTAAATAGGATGCATGTCAACCTATAAAATAAGAAAAATAATATTTTTTAAACTATACATGTAATAAAAGGATAATTGCAATATTTGAGAAATTCTAAAAACTAAACTGCTAAAAGCCAAAATAGCCTTATTTTAAAATGAATGATAGATCTCAATGGACGTTTGTGAAAAAAAAAAAAGACATATAAATGGCCAACAGGTAAATGATACAATCTCCAACATCACTAATTACCAGGGAAATGCTCATCAAAACCACAGTGCAGTGTCAGCCCAAACCAGTACGAGTAGATATTTTTAAAAAGACTAAACCTGTTAATTCCTGGTGAGGATGTGTAGAACAGTGACCTCTTGGACATTCTTTGTGGAACTTTAATAAAGCCATTATGGAAAACACAGTGGAACATTATGGAAAAAAGTTTCCTCAAAAATATTGAAGCAAAATTACCTTATGATGCAGCAATTTCAGTACCGGGTATATATACAAGAAAATGAGACCAGTATGTTGAACTTACATGTTCTTGCACTTGCATCTTCACTGAAGCATTACTCACAAAGCTTCAGAAATGAAACCAAACTAGTCGTGGTGGTGTATGCCTGACATCCTAGCACTTTGGGAGCTTGAGGCAGGATGATGCAAGTATAAAGCCAGCCTGCTTAACTTTGCAGCAAGACTCTAAAAAAAAGAAGAAAGAAAGGAAATAGAAAACATATGCAGAGTTTAGTCATAAAAAGGATAAAATCCTCTCGTTTCGGGCAACATGGATGGACCTGGAAATCGCTAGGGTGAGTGTAATAAGTGAGACACAAGAAGACAATTGCTACATGATCTCACTTGTGTCGAATCTAAAAAAGTTGATCTCAAAGAAGATGAGAGTAGAATGGTGGCTTCTAGAGGCTAGAGAGATGGGAAAAGACACTAAGGCTACAGTTGGATAAAGGTAAGAAGTTCTTGGGTGGGTCGCAGAACAGTAAGGGTACTACAATTAATAACAGTACACTATATATTTAAAAGATAAAAGGATTTTGGAAATTTTCCTTATAAAAAAACTGTTGGTTTTTATCAGGTGACAGGTCCCAAAAATGAGGTGCAGCATTTGAAAAAAAAAAATGAGAGAGAGAGAGAGAGAGAGAGAGAGAGAGAGAGAGAGAGAGAGAGAGAGAGAGAAAGAGAAAGTTACAGGATCAGGAAGCCACAAGGTCTAGGACTGGAGCCTCCATCATAGATTTCTCTGGCTATTTTTTTGAAGTCTTTTCTTCACAAAAAAACAGAAGTGACAAATGGGAGTGGTAAAGTACAGATAAATGAGAACTTAATCGTTTAACTATCCCAGCGACCATCCTTGGCTGCGTGGGGCCTTCACATTAGCCTTACTTCTTTCTGACACATCTTAGCAAAGCAGCTTGTGCTGTCCCAGCAGCGTTCCACTGGGACTAAGGTCCTGGTGTGATTTCCTTCTACACTATGCTGTAGAAAGACTTCTTCCAGAACAGTCATATGGCCTAACAGAGCTCAAAGTCCCTAGAGTTATAAAAGATAAGGTTAATTTAAGACATACCTTTTCCCACAGGAAATGAGAAATGTTTGACGAAATATGTTTAACTTGATTTAAATGCTGCAGTACTACATTAATATATATAATTCCTATGGTTTTATGCAGCAATTAAAAAAAAAAAACTTTAAAAGATTTTACCAAAAAGTGAATGTCACTTAGGAGAATGTTAATACACCAATGACTTCAATAATATTAAAAGTAGCAACAATAATATTTGAAATGTTTAAACCAAACTGGACAATTGTTTTACCACAGTAGTAGGGTGGCTTATTTTTCCTATTTCATTTCTTTCCTGTGACAGAATTCAATGCCTTCATCGTTTACCATGCGACTTTGCATCACCTCCTACTGTAGCAGGTACAGCACATTTCCTGCACACTAATATTGAGCTTGGTATGTGATTTGCCATAGTCAGAGAAATTTCCAGAATATATTTATGCTGCAGAGATTTCCAGGACTAATTCACTATGTGTCTGGCACCAATTCTGATGTTTTGCCTCGAGCAGTCACTGTTTACTTAGTGTGAGAAATCTGAACCCAACAAGCCATATTTGGCCTAGAAATCACAGTCAACCCACAAAGCCATTTTTAAGAAAGAAATGTTACTGTTATTAGCCATAGGCTTCTGAAGGGTTTTGTTTTGAGGTATTAGTTGTATTAGGGAATCTAACCAATATAATGATATATAAACAAAATGATTGCATTATGTTAGTTTTTCTCATTTAGCAATACCTGTAGCAATGCATGTCTTTCCAATATTTGTAGAATTACTGAATAAATTGATAGTGGAAACAAATATTTTTCTTAATATATAATTGAAAAAAACTAGATATGGAAATTGAATAGGTTGAGCCATCAATCTTTCCCATCTGGTAGTTCAAAGC